GGCTGGGTCCTCCCTCACTGGGCCGCCTCCTCCCGCTGCCTCTTAGCCTGAGTGGCACCGGTCCCACCAGAGCCCTTAGCCCATGGGGGTCCCCAAGGCCACGCTGTGAGTGGAGGAGCAGACGTGGGGTACCCCTGCCCGTGTACCCAGTCCAGGGGCTGCTTGTACCCATCCCTTGCGTGAGCCAGTTCTTTACAGCGGGATGGTCCTTGCAAAGACCAGAGGAATTTCACGTGGTGCGGATGGAGAAACCGAATCCCTTCGAACCTCTGTCAAACGGACACGTGGAAAAACGTGTGTGTGTGTGTGTATATACACAGATATATATAGGCAGTGTGCACACATGGGCTGCAGCCGGTGGTCTGGCACCCATCCTCGGGTGGGTGCCTTGGACCTACCGTCTCTGCCACATGCGGATGCTGAGCAGCCGTCGATTGACTTCCTCCACCCTTGGCTTTTAACTGGAATTACTGTTTTCATTTCCAAAAGTAATTAAAATATCAGACCTTGAGCTGTCATAACTGTCACATGGTTTTTGTGTTCGCATTACCGATGCACATCTATTACTGTTAATAACAGGGAAATAACATGCCCGTGGAGAAACGCGCCTTTGCGCGGAGGCTGCGTCGCCTCCGGGACGTGGACCGCAGGCTCGTGCTATCGGTGATTCCCAACGGCAAATTTGTCATGTTTTCTCCTCAGGGATTTTATTTTTCAATCATTTAGATAGAGTAAGTGGCAAGTCAGTGGTTGTGTGGGTTTTGAGCATCAAAAACTTTTGTTGGCTGGATTCCTAGAGCTTCCTTATTTTTTTTCCTCCAATTCGTCCCCTCCACTGTAGGAGGGGAGGGGGATTTGTGAGAGCGGCTTCGTGGTATTTTGCTAGCCGGAGTTAAACCACGACACCCAGCAGCCGGCCAGGGATGCTTTGGGAAGAGGCGATGGGCATGGGGCAGCTCTGGGTGCACCTGGGCTGGGCACACCGGGCTTTGGCCACCCCTGGGTGCAGCCCTGGCTTTTCGTCGTAGCAGCATGATGGTAGGATCCCGTCTGCTTTTGAAACTCCTGGGCTTTTGACTTTCTCAGGGCTGTCGGGTTCACACGTGCGGTGACAAAACCCACCGGGCAGAGCAGAGGGTGCTGTGTTTGGGGCGCAGCTGTTTTATTTTGTGTCCCTTGCTATGAAATGATGTATTTTTTTAAATAAGATAGGCAAGGCTGTGTCTGCTCAACCCTCTGCACAACTTCCAAATTCAGCAGCAGCTTTAAAATTAGCTGTTGTTGTGCAAATATGTTTTGACACCTGTCTGCGTGCAAGGAGTGGGTCGGGTGGATTAACTGACCGAAGGAAAGGGGTGGCACAGCTCGGACATCCTTGGCTCTAAGTCTGTCCCTTACGCTCCTTCGCGAGCAACAGCAAAGAGAAGCACGAAATGGGGCCTTTTGGTTGAAACGCAGGTATAGAGTCTTCAGGGATGCCCTGTCGAGCAGCTGTTTAAGGGGGGAAAGGGGTGCTCCTTGGTTGGCAGAGGGTAAACAAATGGGAGAGGGGAGCTGTGTGCCGAGCCGCATCCCCGCCACGGGCGACGCCGCTCCGGATTTGGCAGGGAAGGGATGGAGAGGCGGTGCAGGGGCTGGGGGCTTTCTTCTTTAGAGCTGGAAATGCAGGGAATTAACAAGCGGCCCTTTCTCGGGGCGCGCGGCCGGGAAGCCGGGGCGGTGATTTACGACTGGGGTGATGACAACCAGGGGAACCGCCGAGCCGGGCCCTGACCCTAATGCAAACCTGTCCTGCAGGCAGGGCTACAGTGGCTTGGTTGTTAGAAAAGTACCCCTAAAAATAAATAAATAAAGGGAAAATATTCTTTAAAAGCAAAGTGACGGAGGGAAGCGGGTCTGGGAGCAGCAGCCGGGTACCATGGGGTTGGTTTTGTTAGGGATTTATTCCCTCTCCCAGCTCCTGAACGAAGCTCCTTTTCTCGGCTTTCACACACACTGGTGCACCTCCTCGGCCACGCTCTCTCCTCCTTGTCTCTTTGCAGGATTTCCCTGAATTTCCCCTACTTTCGTCGCCAGCCGACACGGCTGTGCGCAGCTCATGCTTGTACCTGCGCGTGTTTCCACAGGGGTGTTTTAGCGATTTGTGTGGGTTTCTCCCTCCTTCGCCTGTCGTGCGGCTTCCCAGCGAGGCACCTTCATCCCTGCCAACGGGTTAAGGAAACCTGCAACGCTTTCTAGGCAAACACACATAAAAATAACCATCTCGGTCGCTTGTGCGAGTGGCTAAACTCCTGCATCGCGGTAAACTCCGTGCGGGTGTGTTCCTGGATTATTAATTCGGGGTGTAATCCTGCACTTGGCCTGACCCGAATCTGGGCGGTGACAGGGACGTTTTGGTGCTGTGGCATGACGATCAGATGCAAAATTAAATATACACAGTAGCTTTAGGCTCGAGGGGTGTCAGCTGCAGCAAAAACATGCCATGCAGGGATGGAATAAATCAGGTGGGAGCTGGGCCCGCCGCTGGAGCCCAGTTCCGCAGGTCAGGCACCGGCTGTGCCTGGCTGAGGGATGCGTGTGAAAACCTGCCAGAGGCAGGGAGATGCTGGACCTGGTGACTTGTACTGGGATGTACTGGTCGTACTGGTGTGGCAGGAGAGAGGGAGCGGGGAGCACTGGGGAGCGCTCCCCTCCTCGTGCATCACTCGCACCGCGTGAATCAAACCTGTGGAGAGCCAATCCAGCCAGCCCCGCGTCCGGGCGCTGCTCCGGGGAGCGGGAAGGCCGGGAGGAGGGAGGAGGAAGAGGGCACCCTTCCTCCTGCCCACCCCGCTGTCTCTCTTTTTGCAGGCTCTCCAGGTGGCACGCCAGTTCCTGCTGCAGCAGGCCACGGGGCTGAGCTCCCCCAGCACCAATGAGGGCAAGCAGCCGGCGGTGCAGGTGAGCCCCCAGGACGTGTGTGTATCCCCCCCATCACCCCCGTTCCGGGAAGGGCTCAGCTGCAGACTGATGCTGTGGGAAGGTGCAGGCGCAAACACGCATCAGGATGGCTGAAGCACTCCAGGAGCCCACAAACACTGAAATCCCCTGTAACCCCCCAAAAAATTGTTGATGGGGGCTGTTGGGGGGTTTTTTTTTGGTGGTCCCCATCGGTGCTGACTTTGTGGGAGAGGGCTGTGCGAGGGAAGGGCTGGCTCCAGGCGGGATAAGGACTGGGGAGAGAAGGTTTCTGTGTGCCACCATACCCTGGGACAGCATTTTGGATAGGGGGGTGCAGAGTTTCCCAGGGTCAAGGAACCCCAGGATTGATGCTGGTGCTGTGAGTGGGGCTCAGGGGCTGGGTACGGGACAGTCCCTCGGGGCTGGATAAGGAAGGATCCCTTGGGGTCGGAGCCATGGCAGGTCCTCCACAATGGCACAGGGCAAAGGCCTGTTTAGGGTGGGGTTTTGGGGCACTGGCAGGAAAACGGAGCTTTGGGTGGATGCAGCACCCCTGGGTGGCATCCTGTTCCCATAAGGGAGGTGGGACAGCCCCTTTGGTGCCCTCCTCCACCAAGGGAAAGGGGCAGAAAAGGGGCAGGAGAAGGGTGTGAACCTGGAGAGAGGGGGAAGCAGAAAGAAGCAAAGCCCAAGCGATGGAAAGTGACAATTTAAATAGCTGTGCGGAGGGGCTCTCCCTTCAGGCTAATTAAATTTATCGGAGAACAGCAGGTTACCTTATTAGAGCCACGTGGGTTTAATTAACAAAGGAAAGTAATTAGCACAAGCACTCTCAGAGCTGGAGGTCCTGCCTATGCCAGGCTGAGTCGGCGGGTGGGCGGCGAGAGCCGGGGCTGGGACGGGCTTCTCTCCCGGTTTGGGAGCTGCGTGGCCAGGGCACGGCTGAAGCTCGGCCGGCAGTAAGTGCCACCCCGGTGCTCCCAGTACCGGACTGGGCTGGGGGAGCCTGGAGACCCTCCAGCGGGTCGAGAAGCTGCATCTGGGTCCGAGCAGCGGGAAACAGTCAGGGCTTCTGCGGCACAAACAAGCGGCTTTTTCCAGCGGTGCTCGCAGGAAGGAAATGCAGTCACTGCATGGAAAATGTCTGCGAAGGACAAAGGCAGCGAGGGTGAAGTCAGATTCCGGTAACCGGCACCTCGCTCCCCTCCGTGGGTGCGTGTCCCTGCCCACGCTCCTCCTGCCCATCCCTCGCTGCTCCCTCCGCCGCGTCCCCGGCTGCGACGCGCGCACGCTTGGCTCGCTCGCCGCTCGCTTGACATCCCATTCCCCCCTTCTCTCCTGCTTTCTCTCGCCTCCCCTCCCTGCCCATCTGGCCAGCGGCTTTGCCGGCGTGAGCTGGATCTGCTTTCCTCTCCCCTCCTCCCTTTTTGTGTTGCAAAAGGACTTGTGAAAGTTGTAGACGTGAGTCAGAAATAGCTCATAACTCAGCAGCGACCGGCCTCTTCCTCCCCCCCTGGCCCCAGCGGCCCGGCCGGCAGCTGGAGCAGGATCTGACCGAGGGGAGATAGAGGATTAAGCAGACTCCTTTGAAAGGAAGTTTATCTAAGGCAGCGTGGTGTGGGTGAGACTGGCCAGGACGGCTGGAGGAGGAGGAAGCCTGGGTCCCCGTGCAGCAGCCCCTGGCTGGGGAGTGAGAGGGGAGCACAGCAGGACCTGGGAGGGTTCATCAGCATGTTTGAGAACTGGGGTGCCCCCAGTGTGCCAGCCCAGACCCCCACGGGCTTCGCCTGCAGGGATACAGCTGCACCGCAGCCCCCCGGGTCTGGATTTCCACATCGCTCGGGTATTTGGGGCAGGGGGGGGATAAGCTGTTTCAGTGGCCCCCCTCAGCTCTCCACCAGCCAGCCCTCAGCCCAGGTGAAGCAGGCAGGACGGTCCCAGCGTGGGCAGGGAGAGCGGGAGCCCGGCACCCAAATCCCAGGTCCCCGTGTGTTCGCAGCCCCCTGCCACTTCATTGATGGGGACGATGTTTATGGGGCACCAAGCCAGCGGGAATATTAACGACAGACGGCGACGGCGTGCTCTTAAAAACAAACAAGGAGCTGCTGGGCTCAACAGGATCTTGGGGATTTTTTTGGGAGTATGAACCCTCTCTCCCCCCAGATCCCTGGAGGTGTGCAGGGCGAGCCTCACCACTCACACTTGAATTACAGCTGCATCTAAAAAAATGCCCAAAAAACCCACGCTGAAACATTTTTAAATGTGGGGGTTTTTTATTTCTTTGCAACTTGAAAACTATTAGAAACTTGGCAGATGCTGACCAAGTGTGGCGTTTAAGGACTCCTGCTGCGGGGTGCTTGTCGGGAGCCGTGTCCCCCACCCGGATCCTGCTGGCATGGGAAGATGCTGTGGCGTAAAGGTCATGGTACGAGGTGCTGGAGCACGTTTGGATGGCGTTGGGGTGTCTCTCCGTGCCCCATAGTTTTAGTGCTGGGCCATGTGTGGCTCAGGTGCTGTTTTTTGGGATCCCTTCCCCAGCTCAGCCCTTGGAGCCGGGGGTCTCCCAGGCTCTGGCGGGAGCAACTTGCTGAGGTTAAGAAGCCTCTGAAATGGGAGAGGGGCTGAAGGGCGCTGAGGGAAGGGGAGAGGAGTTTGGAGCAAACTGCGGGAAATTGCTTTTCTTTTGTCTGCTGCGGCAGGGAGGGCAGCGGAGCGGAAAAGTGTATTTTGTTGATTTGAAACTTGAGTGAAATGGGTAATGAAGACAGATCAATACCAGCCCTTCTGCGTTCCCTCTCCAGGAAAAAATACAGCAGCCCGTCCGTCTTGGCTCGCGCGGCGCTAGGTTTTTCCATTTGAACTCGCGGCACCGCGGTCTGTCCCCGCTCTCCCCCACACTGCTCCCCCCTCCTCCTTCACGGAGCCCCCAGCTCTGCCAGCCTGCTCCGCCGTCCCCGTTTTGGATTAACGGGGGAGCGAAGGAGTCGCTTCAATCCCCGCAGATTCCATCGGAGCCGTGCCCGGCACCCTGTGCCCATGGAGGAGATGTTGGCCCTGGGGATCCCGCCTGGGCAGTGCAGGGGGGCAGCAGCTCATCCCATGCCTGAGGAGGGGGGTGCCAGGCAGCGAGCGCTCCCGCATCCCCCAGCAGCTCCCGTTCAACTTCTCGCGACTCCAGCCCCATTATGCGCCACTAGTGCCTTCCTGGGCACGCTGGGCTAACGAGGATGCTCGTTGGCTTCAACACGCAGGGGACCGCTTCCTCCTTTTCTTTGCGTGTGGCCGAAGAGCAGAGGCTGGTTGTCCTCCACGCCGGCACCCACCCTCTTGCTCACCCCATGCTGCTGCCCTCCTCCTGCTGCCATCCCCCAGGGCAGTTACTCCGTTGGTGCTAAGGCTGTGCAAAGTATTCCTAAACACCCCACAGCCCCAAACCCAACCTGGCACGTGTGGTGCCGGAGCTCCCTGGCAGATCTGGGTTTGGTTTCTCCTCTGACCCTGGGTAGATTTTGGTCTGTCATCTCTGTCCCATCTTGGCAAGGTCCACACACGGCGTGGGGTGAGCGGAGGGGGGGTGGTGCGGTGTTTGGGTGGCCCCGTGCCACCCATCACGGTATGTAAGCTGGGGTTACGCTGATGTGAGTGGCATCACTCTCTGGCTCCGGGCGTTCGAAGCTCTTCCAGAGGGTCTGAGCCAGCCGAATCTTGGAAGGGACGTGTGGATGTGCCTGCGTGCTTTGGCTGGATCAACGGGAAAGGTTTGCTCTTCTCCAGCTGCTGCAGTGAGATGCGGGTGCTCGGGGAGGGGATTTGCTCATCCCCTGCCCCTAAAAACAGCAGACCCGAAGCTGCTCTTGGTGGTGGTTGTTTCCCCGCTTCTGTTCCCGGCTCCCAGCCTCCATCGCCGACCTCCTCGGTTTGTTTCTGTTGGTTTTGGAATCGAAAAGGGTGTTTAAAAAAAAAGAAAAACAGCACAAACATGTTTGCTGTTGTTTCTAATTGGGAATTAAAACCTGAGATTAGATCGGAGACAAGGATGTGCAGCGCCTTGGGCTCTGCGGGGTGCATCGAACACCCCAAGGAGCTGCCATGTGCCT